TTCCTTTCCTGCCCATCTGGTCACCAAGAACTACAATTTCTCATCTTCCATATCTCTCAACACCACTCTCTCCTCTCTTCTTAACTGGCTGAACTGCCAGATTTTCTCTGATCTCTCCTGGTTCTTTTCCAGTATCTTTTCTCTTTCCTTACCCTCTGCCTTACGCTTCTCCACTTTTACCCTAAACGTGGGAAGGTCGATGTGGCCCACACCACTCTCTCTATCTGCGATGTGTTCCCCTGTTTCTTCTCTTCGACATCTCCTATTCAGTCTTCAAAATCCTGTTCAGGTATCATCGTGCCCGAGGAAGCTTCCAGGATACCCACCACTCCCAAGGCAAGGTAACGTTCCATTTCTCTGTGGGTCCGTAATTCGAACATAGCACTCACATATCGGTTTTTATGTTGGTCTCTCCAACTTAAATATGCACGTCTTGAGGGTAGAACGCCTACCACCTCGCACGGTACTTGACCATAATGAAGCCCTCATAAATAATTATTCAATGAATGAATAGCATATAGTTCTAGTATTCTCTCCTTGGCTTTTTAAGAATTATTCGTTGGTTTACATACATAAATATATCTTTCTAAGGTTATAAGGACCTCAATAATAAAAAACGCTGTGTATCTAAAGCTGCACTGGCATCACCCCCCGCACGTGAACAACTATGATAGATACACTAGAGATCATGACTGAGAGTAAGAGGTCAAATATGTGAACTGATCAAGAGGCTATGTTTAAACTTTCATTCCCCCTTCCTGCTCAGCTTTTAATGGATACATCTTTGGCTTATTGAGTAGAAGTGTAATCATTTTTCAGGACATCACTTTCAGGTCTAGCCAAGGGCACCCATCAACAGAGCCCATCATCAGCTGCGGTTGACCAGGGCTCTAATTTGGCTGTTATCACTGAACTCTTTTGTAAGAAAGGTTGACTAAGCAGTGACCTTGTCTATTTCACAAGATACAGAGAGCTCTCCCTCTAAACTTCTCCCATAAGTTTCAAGACCTTTCATTTTAACGTCTAGGAGCTGTAGATGAGGTATAAATAACCACCGAGGAAGTGGTGTGGTAGATAAATAATAGCGGATCAACAATCCCACAAGCCAGAATTCTGCTCTTGATGAAACTATTGACATAAAAAAAAATCTGTTGCCACGGTGGTTTCAGTTTCGTAAAACTATGCCGAATTTAGAATGAAAAAGAAAGTATATGTAATCCAGTAACACGCATAAATGCAAGAACCAAAATGCATAAGGAAAGTTCACATATTGCCAAACTATTCCGGTTTCATGTATTCCTTTGGACATCTGGTGGACCCGGGGCTTGATCATGCTGTATGATAATTCAAAACATGGCACTTCCCATGCATTTGCCACACTCCTGCTGTATTATATGGCATCATATGGCTCCTCTGTCCCAGCCAAATTGCTCCACAACTTGTTCCTGAAAATGCTTCGCATTCTGGCTCCTGCCTAGATACCCCCATCCCTCATGTCACCCTTTTCTAAGTCATGCTCTTTCAAGATGTAGCTAAACCTGTAAAGAGTGTATAATGCTTCAAAGGCAAAAGGGATACTAATTTGGGAGAACTTAATTCTGCAGGCAGAAAAAAATCCCAACGTGGTTGCGTATGGGGTATATTCAATGCGGCCGGCGCATCGTCTTAGGAATAACCTCTCCTCCAAGAAATTACCCTGCCAAAATAGATCATTGCAGTGCCCTGCCCTTCACTAAGAGGCTTTAATATAATAACTAGTGACTATTACCTGTTGAGTGACTTAAGACCAAACTTATCTAAGGAATGAAAAGCGAAGCAATAGTAATTCTGTTCTTACACTCTTGGTGTTTTCACGGTGCTTAATATACATTATTCCATCATAATGCTAGCACTGCTTCCCTAAGAAGAACAACTGGTGGGCTGTAGGCCGAAACATCAATAATGCCGTCGTGGCTGGCAAGGACTTTTCCTGCTTCAAATCCTAAAGAGCACCAGATCATTCACTCATTCGGTCAAACATTTTCTGACGATCTCCTCTGTTCTAGGCAGTATTCTAAGCATCTAAAATAAAACCGTGGGCAAAACAGCTAAAAATCCCTGCCTTCATGAATTTTATATTCTAGAAGGAGAAGACAGACAATGAACAGAACAAATAAGTAAGGTAAGAAAGTGATAGTTGTTACAGAGGGACATTAAACAGAAAGAGGGGCATAGGAAATAGAGAAGGGGGGTTCAAGGAAGGCTCACTAGACAAGTGATAGCGGCGCATGGGGTTGAAGGAGGTGAGGCAACAATTCAGGAAGGAGGAATAATACTGACGGTACATTGTTTGCAAAAGTGGCCACAAAAATTCCTATTCCTATAGCCACATCTTTGGGTAGGCCCTTCCACATTGATTCTAGGCTTAGCCACGTGTTCTTCTTTGACCTATGGGACAATATCAAATGTGATCCAATTGATCTCAGAAACTCTTGTGACCACCATATGTAAACAAACCTGGGCTACCCTGATGGATGATGAGAAACATATGGCTAAGGGGGTTAATATTGCCCCATTAACATCAAGCCACTCCTATTATACCATGGAAGCAGTCACAGATGGTACGTAAACATAGAGGCACGGTTGTGCTCCAGCGTAACGTTATTTACAAAAAGAGGTGGTGGCAGGCCAGATTTGGCTGGCAGCCTGTAGCCTGCCAAGTCCTCTCCTAGACGATCTCGTCTTAGCCAAGCTGGCCTAGGCAAAAACTGTCCAGTCAACCCAGAGAACCATGAGAGGCAACCATTGTTATTTTAAGCCATTATGTTTTGGATTGGTTTGTTACACAGCAAAAGCTAACTGCTACAGTGTTCCAGACAGAGAGCACCAGATACAAAACCCTAACAAAGGAGTATGCTTGGGTCACCCTAGAAATTATAAAGGGAGCAATGTCACTGGAGCCAAGTGAGCAAGGAGGTGAGCAATAAAAAATAAGTGCAGAAGAAACAGAATAGAGGAATAGGACAGGTAGATTGTAAGGGCTGTGAGGGCCACCGTAGCAGAGGAGTGACGTGATTTGACTTATGTTTTTAATTTGTTTTAACGTTTATTCATTTTTGAGAGACAGGGAGAACAGAGCATGAGCAGGGGAGGGGCAGAGAGAGAGAGAAACACAGAATCCGAAACAGGCTCCGGGCTCTGAGCTGTCAGCACACAACCCAACGCGGGGCTCAAACTCACGGACCGCGAGATCATGACCTGAGCCGAAGTCGGACGCTCAACCGACTGAGCCACCCAGGCGCCCCTGATTTGACTTATGTTTTTAAAAGCTCAGTCTAGCTGCTGTGTTGAAAATAGACTGTAGAGTACAAGGGCAGAGGCAGGGAGGTCACTTAGCCTATTGCAGTCACCTGGGTGGGAGGTTTGGTAGGCTGGAGATGGGTAGTAACCCTAAAGGTTGCAAGAGGGATCCGAATTTGGGTATATTTTTCATGAGATGCACTAATAATTTGGATGTGGACTGTAGGAGACAGAAGGCAATTAAAGATCACATCACGGCTTTTGTCCTAAAAAATTGGAAATTGCCATTAATTTGAGATGAAGAAAATTATAGGTAGAGAAGTTCTGGGGCAAAGTATGAGGAGTTCTATGCAGCACGTCAAATTTAAGATGCCTGTTAGGCGTTTGAGTAGGTATTTGTGTACCCGGGTCTAAAGTTCAAAAAAGAAGATTAGATTGGAGGTACACATTTGGAATCATCAGCACAGAGAGGACATTTCTTATGCATGAAAATGATGCTATTGCCAAAGGAGTGCATGTACACAGTGAAGAGAAAAGCCTTAGGAAGCGAGCCTTGGGACATTCCAATTCTAAGATATCAGGGAGATGATGAAGAGGAATTGATCACTAAAGGAGCAGGTGACCGAGAAGGAGAGGCCAGAGAAGTATAAAGAAAACCAGGAGAGTGAAATAGCCTGAAGGTCAACTCAAGAAAGTGTTCAAGGAGGATGAGGGCTGAGAATTAACCCTTGGATTTATCGGTACAGAGGAAATTAGAGACTACGACAAAGTCCGTTTTGGTGGAGTTATGGACACGTAAGCCTGATAGGCATGGGTTTGGGAAGAGATTGTGAGTATGGAGAGCACTTTCAAGGAATTTAGCCATGAAGTAGAACAGAGAAACCAATCAGTAGCCAGAGGGTAATTAGAGGGATATTTTAGAGTAAGATAAAAGATATCATGGTTTTGTTCTGAAGAGAATGATCCAGTGAAGAGAGAGCAAGTGATGATGTAGAAAAGGGAGTGAGGGGGGCGTGTGGGTGGCTCAGTCAGTTAAGCGTCGACTTCGGCTCAGGTCATGATCTTGCGGTCCGTGAGTTCAAGCCCCGCGTCGGGCTCTGTGCCGACAGCACAGAGCCTGGAGCCTGTTTCAGGTTCTGTGTCTCCCTTTCTCTCTGACCTTCCCCCGTTCATGCTCTGTCTCTCTCTGTCTCAAAAATAAATAAACGTTAAAAAAAAAAAAAAAAAGAAAAGAAAAGGGAGTGAGGCCGTCCTAGACCATGATGTCCATTAAAGCCACCAGATTACTGCATCAGCCTGAGTACCTCCAGATGAGACACAGAAGGAAAGTCTTTGAGTGGACAAGAAGAGATGGGCTCTAGGGGTTAACCTTAGATAGGGGCATGGAGAGTTCATCTGGTAGCAGGAGAGACAGTAGAGTAAATGGGCCCACATGCTGGTGGGTGGGAGGTATGGTGGCAGATGGGAGTCTTCAGATGTCCTTATACTTTGTTCAGTGAAATGGGAAGCAAGGTTACCAGGCAAGAGTGAGGTTTGGGAGCATGTGTGAGTGGTTAGAGACTGGCGAGAGTAGTAGATTGTTCCAGTAACAACTCCCAGCACATAAGACCCTTGACATTCCTCTCCTCCACTGATTCTGGGCTTGCCATGTGATTTTCTGTAGCTAACTGGACATTGGCAAATATGATACAAGCAGTGGCTTACAAAATGCCTCTTTCTAGGAACTGCCACCCCCACTTGAAGCTGCTCAGGCTAGCCTGCTGGGGACACGTGACCCATCCACTAGCAAGTGCCAACTGCCGTCTTAGACCAGCCAGCCGCATTCAAGTCACTAGATGACCACAGCCACGTGAGTGACCCCAAACAAATGCAGCAGAGGAACCGCCCGACTGATCCCGACCCAACTGGTGACCCACACAATCGTGAGCAAATAAAATGATTACCGCCTTAAGACGCTATTTACTGGGATGGCTTGCTGTATAGCCAAGGTTAACAGATACAGAGGAGAATTATGGAAAAAGGTCCTGTCCTTTTTCCATAACTGGTGGAGTTGGTAGAATAGGGACATACAGTATGGATGGCTGGTGTTACTAAGGGACCACTTAAGAGTCCTACTCATTGAGTTTAAGGACATTCAGTCAGTCTGGTTGGGCTTTTTTCTAGCCACATTCAGTTACATGGGTGCAGGTGTGGTCTAGGGGAGAAATGAATATAATCAGGGTAGGGATTTTTGCCAAGCAAGTACAACAATGCCAGAGGATCAGGTGGGGTGGACATGTCTACAAGGGAATCATGATCGTCATTTACCATGGGCTGCAACCTCAGAAAATACAGGACATCAAGGAGTTCAGATGAAGTGAAAAGGTCGTTGGACCTTGTTAAATTTCTACCATGGGGGGTAAAGGTTTTTTTTTTTTTTTTTTTTTTTTTTTTTGGCATCAGGACACTAGGGAGAATGAACTAGAAAAAGAGGAAGTGGTGGTCAGAGAGTCTGGTACACGAATTAGAGATTATGAAAAGAGAGTAGTTATTGCGGATGACAAGGTTTATGACATGACTATAGCAATAAGTGGCCGAATAGATAGGACAAGATGGTGGGAGGAGAAACAGCAAGAAAGTAAGAGGCCAGGCTGTGGCAGGATCATCTATGTGGATATTGAAATCACCAGGAATTAGGCCAGCGCTAATACTGGGGAAGGTGGCCGTTGGCCAGGAGCTAAGATAGTCAAGAAACGTCGGGTGGGGGTCCCTAGGTAACTGTAACAAGAAAGGATCGTGTCGGGCCATTATGTGGTGGCATTCGATTCTAAGCTGGGGCATTTAAGGGCAGAGGGCCAAGAGGAAGAATGGCCTGGAAGTGTGAACAAGGAAGAAGGAGGACACCTGTCTTACTTTCAGGCCCAGCGGTACTGGGGGGGGCGGGGGATGGCTATGACTCAGTGGGGCTGCACCAGAAGGAGTGTCCTTAGGGGCATTGCTGATTTCCCACGGAGTAAGAAGGTGAAGAAGACAGCGTTCAGACAAGAGGTTGCGAATGTAGGAGATTGTGCTACTAATGGCCCTTGAGTTCCAAACAGCTCAGGGGAAGGCTTTCAAGAGTTGGGGGAGGGTGAGAGAAGGGGACGGACAGGGGAAGTGGCCAGCCTCGTGGGGATTAGAGGTGAAGGTAGAGGCGTGTTTCGGGAAAGGGCTGGGCAGTCTGGTTCTCGTGGCGACAGACAGAAGCGGAGGTGAAGACCGCTTGAGGTTAGACCTTGCCAGGGCGAGGCGGACCGTCCTGGTAAGGCGTCAGTTTTGGAGGCTGCGGAGTTTCCAGGGGACCGCTTTTCACATCTGCCCGGAGAGATGTGGAAGTTGGGCGACGGTGGTCATGTGTTGTTTGTTGGAGAGGCACACGGGTGAGTGCCCGCCGTCCAGCCTCCCCGTCGTTGCTGGATTCCATGTGGACACGCACGCGTTCCCTGGGAACGGCCCGGCGGGAGAAGGTGTGCCGGCATCTGGTAAACCTCGGGGGTGGCTGATAAAACTTCCTTCTTCCATGTGTCTGACACAAACAGCGAATGGCTTTTTTAAGAGCGGCCCGACGGGCCCGAGTGGGGGGTGATGTTCTTTCTCTGGGAGCAAGGGTGCGGGGCCCGCCTTTCTTCGATGTTGCGCTGAGACGCTTGTGCCGGCACCACGGGAGGCTTGGATGCTCCCCCGGCACTTCTGACGTTCTGACGTCTGGACTTGGACTCTTCCGAAGCGGCAAATTGGAACCATAGTGAAACTCTGGTATGAAAGGCGAATGGACAGCAAGGCCTTATACAGAACTTTTTTTTTTTTTTTAATTTTTTTTTCCAACGTTTTTTAAATATATTTTTGGGACA